AGCACAATGCACCAAGTGTAAAGGGCGTTTATTGAAAAAGGCGAGCCAGCGCAGCGGGTAGTAGCCCGAAAAGAATGCAGGTGGGCCAAAATGATGATGCTCAATCGCCGGTCTCATGCCTTCTTTCCGTGATGATAATATATATATATATATATATATATATATATATATATATATATATATATATATATATATATATATATATATATATATATATAGTCTAGTAGATCCTCCGTGAGCGGTCAACGTGTTTTATTTCGACGTTTCGGCCTAGAGTCTGGCCTTCATCAGGAATAAAGATACAGTATGTCGGTGCTCTGCTTTATACAATCTCAAATCAGAGGGCAAGGAAAGAGGAAAAAAGGGAAAGAAAAAAGAAAAGAAAAGGAAAGAAAAAAAGAAAAAAGAGAAAAATAATATACGGTGGACGTTCCTCGGGTGCCCCCCTTCCACTTTTCCCTCCACTTCCCCCCCATCTCTCTCCCCCCTCTCCCCTTCACCTTTCTGAAGTCAGCGGTCTGTGTATGTTTCCGTTCACTAGCGCATTCCTCCCGATCAGACGGCCCCTCCTGGCACTGGCGGTTCGGTGTGGGGCAAAAAAGAGCTTTTCAGGAAGTCCTAAGCCTTTAACTACTCGGGGTCCCGTAAACAATTCGTCGTAGAAGGACGGGGGCCGCGTATTGTGGCAGAGGCTGGTCAGCGGGCATTTTAGGAAGTTCTAAGCCTTTAACTACTCCGCGCCCTGTCAACATTTCGTCGTAAAAATAGGGGTGCCCCATATTGCGGTAGGCTGTGCAAGCGCGTGCAATGCGAATTCCTGGCCCGCTTCTAAATTACGCGTGTCGTGGGGGCCTCCTGGCTGTGCACATGGTTGCTGCTGGGCATGTCGTGCATGGCACAATCGATTGGGTATTAAAATAAAACAAAACAGACGACAGCTGCACTTAGGAAGAGTAGTTACACTTGAAATTGTTTTAGGTTGTCCAGTGCCCTTCGCAGCTGCAGTGCCGTGAACTCAGTTACCATTTTCATTGTTGCCGTTATTGTTTTCTAATGCTTTAATTGCTGCAAGTGTACCAGGATTCTCATTTATTCCTCTATCGAGGGTGTTAAATCGGTGGATAAGGTATGACTCTCGTTGTTCACGTTCTCGATTTGATTTAAATCCCGTCTCTAAGAGCGTTACTGATAGTTTGTCGAATGCATGGTCGGGAAGATTGAGATGTTTGATAGAGGTAGACTTGGGGCTGATTTCGCATGGCTCTGTGATTATTGAAGCGAATCCTAAATGGTGTTTCTGTTTGTCCGATGTACTGCATACCACACACGTTGCATTCGAGTAGGTACACCACATTAGAGGAATCGCATGTTAGGTTTCCTCGTATGTTAATCGAAAACTTGGATTGCGTGCTGGTTGCTTTGTCTGTTTCTCGCATCGCCTTACATACATATATATATATATATATATTAACGGATTCCTTCGAATTTAAAAGTTTAACAAAATGTACAAAATGAGAATGGCACAAGCCTACAAGCCTACATCCAGCCATAGTGATCATTTGGTTGAATGCTTCTATGAAGACGTAGAGTCATCCACTAATTATGTAAATGCACAGTATACTATTCTGATGGGCGGCTTTGATGCCAAACTTGGCAAGACACAAGCCGGAGACAATGCAGTAAGGGAATATGATATCGGCTGTACTAATTCCAGAAGGGAGTTATCAACAGAGTTCGCAGAATATAATAAATCACGAATCTTGATCACCTTTTTCATAAAACGAGCTATTCGTAAGTGAACTTGGTGAAGTCTCAATGAAATAGGCTTAATCCTGTGTGGGCGACCAGGCATAGTACAAGATGTAGTTGGCAACATCCAATGCAGTGCCCTTAGAATGATAAGAGCTCGTATTCACATAAAATTAACAAAAGCAGAGACCAAAACTGATTCGCAAGAAGCCAAATAATGAACTAGTGGTGAAAGCAATAGTACAGGAATTCAGAGTTTTGCTTCAGAATAGATTCGAGACACTAAATGAGAGATCCAACGTTAGTGCGGACACATAGAATGATAATCTTACTAATATCATCAAAGAGTGTGCAATGAAAGTTGAAGCTACAGTCACTAGACTGGACACTGGCAAAGTATATCAGGAGACAAAAAATCTTATTAAGAAACGAAAAACAACTAACGCCCGAAATATAACAGGCAAAATAGAGCGAGTGGAGCTTATGAAGTCACAGGTAATGTAGCCAGCATCCCAATGTATGATATAAAGAGAATTGAACATGCCCTAAAAATTGAAATAAGCCTATAAGCTGCGAACGCAAACTTGTGTATAGGTAAAAAATCGGATGTATGCATGAAGAGACAAGGAGGCAAGGTCGTAACTAATATAGATAGGACAGTTGAGGTGGCGGGGGAGTTTCACAGAGAAAAGTACAGGAGCCGAAATAAGCAAGCTGATACCGCAAAAAGCAAAAATAACAAGAGGAATTTACATCCTATCAGTAACTTAGAGGGGAAGTTGAAAGCCCTAAAAGAAATGCTAAGAGGTGAAGTTGCAGGTGATCATAACGTAACAACCGAACTGCTGAAAGATGGCGAAGAAACTGTGCTTAAAACTGGCCACCTTATCTAGAAAGTGTCCGTTTACGGGAAGAATATTACTTTAGAAGTACTTGTTGTTGGGCGAGTTGGTTAGTCATACTGAGGGGTAATTCTAGCCGCCTCAAGCAACACAGAAAGAAATAACCACAGAGAAAGAACGTCAACTTGCAACTGATTTATTGGATGATTTATTGGACAACCTCGTTATTGGGCAACCTTATGATTTATTTATATGATTAAGTGAAGTAGTGTGCTCTGCACATGCGTGGTGCAGCTATATATTTCCTGCGTTTCTCCTTCAAATAATTCAGTTGCGAGTTGACGCTCTTTCTCTGTGATTATTTCTTCCTGTGGTGCTTTAGGCGTCTAGAATTACCCCTCAGAAAGATATTAATACCAGAATTTTGGGAGATTGCTGACATCATTTTGATCCATCAAAAATGAGACGTCAACGGCTTGAAAAATACAGGCCTATTAGCTTACTGTCCCTTCTTCAAAAGCTATTCACAAAAATAATAACAAACGCAATCAGGACGACATTTGAATTAAATCAACCAAAATAACAAGGAAGACACGACCATACATGCCAAAAATGCAGTGGGGCTGTCGTCGGGCGTTTGGTCCCGCATTTTAGGACAAAAGCCGCCGTGCCTACCGCAGTTGCTGCTGCGTTTTCACTCCTGCGTGTGCGGTTCGTTGCCATGCAGAGAAGAAAAAAAAACGATGTACCGACTAGTAATCATGGTTGTTAACGCGGAAAACCACAAAAAGATAGGCTAGGTATTTCTTTTTTCAATTTTCTGTTTACAAAAACAGTCGCGAAAAAATAGGCAGCGCGAGAACTTATGCATGGCTTCGACGCTGGTTCACCAGTTATGTTTTGGAGCGGCTTATCCAGCATAAAGGAGTAGCTCTGTAAAGCCTTTGTCATTTTAATATGCCACACTGCATTTCTAATCAGCCTTGCGTAGAGACTTAACGAGCATATTGACCTGAAATCGCGGTAATGATGTCAATTGTATTGTTATAGTGAAGATAAAGGAAGAATTTTTCATGGTTGCCATTCTTGATATAACTGCATATCTCTTAGACACGTCAAAACAATTTCGCTATACTCGCGTGAAGTAATTGTGTGAGTAGGTCGAAAAGCATTTTTCTTCTTGCATGAACAAGGTTCATTAAAGCAGCAGAGAATGGTAATATTGATACAGTTCGACATTCGCACAAGACACGTGCAACAATTTTCGTTCGTAAAAGCAGCCACACAAGTAGCAAGAAAGCCGCACCATGGAACGTTATCTTGCACGCAACACGATGCTGAGCCATGGGTCGGGAACGAGACTCGAGGTGAAGAAGAAGACACCGACGAAGTCGGACTCAGCTGAGCAAGGGACTTTTTGGCTTACCATTCAGTTTTTAGTATACGAGTACAGGTTCGCCATAAATAAATAGTTTGTATAGTACCAGGTGCTATATTTCTTGGTAACTTTCTGGTGGAGGTGCTCGGTATCATTCCAAGCCCACTGTGGTAAGAGTGCTTCTCACAACCAAAATCAAAACTGGAAGTGAAACCGACAGCGGAAAATAACCGACGAAGACGAAAGTGTGCACGGGGTCAGACGAACGTGAGCGTGAGTTTCGGAACAGCGACAGGCAGAGGAAGAACGCGGCCAGCTAGCAAGAGCGCTAGGCGTTGGGTCTCAGGGGACCGAACCAACGAGCGGGTGTCACCAACCCAACCGGGATGAGCGTGGCATGTTCCTGAGGCGAGTGGCGGTTCCGGGCCGGGCCTGACATGCTGTTACTGTGGCGGACGAGCGTGCGGGCCAAGGCAAGCAGCTGATCCTGTCCAGACTCGGGTCCGGCACAACCAGTCACCAAGATCGTGGCCACGGTGCCACGTCGGAGCCGGTCCGGCACAACCGCCAATTGAAGGTGCGACCTCGGTGTTGCGTCGGCCGCAGCGTAGAGCCGCCTGGTCCAGCACGAGCAGCTGATGGTCTGCTCGTGAGCTCCCGTGCACTTGGCAACCTTCCCGTGGCGAGGTTGCATCGTCGACGCCATCGTCTTCAGCGGGAGCGTAAGTGGCACCCGACGGAATTATACTTCCGAGTAGTGAGGACGCGTGGGTTACTCGCGGGCGCGTAGACATAAGGACTGTATGACTGAATTATGGAGCCAGTGTGTTGTACAGATAGCCACCGTGTTGTGATCGTTTTGTGTGTGAAGTCAATAAATGTTTCTCTTGTCCTTGTCTTGGGTTTCTGCGTCTGAGGGCCCAAGAACCACCACAATTGGCGAGCCTGCGAAGATCAGAAGATTCCAGGATCAGAAGATTCCAGGATGGCTTATTAAAATCTAAAGCCATTACTCAGACGCAGCCTTTGTCATGGACAGGAAGAAATTTATTGCACTTGGCCGACAGCTAGGGTTGGAGAACGAGGAGCTCAGAGAGTGGGTTGAGCGAGAGTGCGTTGAAGCTCGAGATGAGCGTGCTAGGGAGCGCGAGATCGCGAAAGAAAACGCTGAGAGGCAGCAGAAGCTGTTAGAGCAGCAGCAGAAGGTGCAGGAACAAGAGCTGAAGATCTTCGAATTGAAGCTTCGACTTCAGGAGAGCGCAAGCAGGGTACAGCCAATGGTGGCTGACGAACAAGGAGGATCTAGAATGAGCGCCAGAGGAATAACAGAGGTCTGCAGTCCTCATAAACTGATTCCGCCCTTCAATGAGGCTCGGGACGACCTCGACGCGTACCTGCAGCGATTTGAACGGGTCGCCACGTGTCAAGGGTGGCCGCGTGAAAAGTGGGCTCTTTCGCTTAGCCTATGCATGACAGGAGAAGCGCTAACAGTCATAGGCCGGTTAGATTCAACAGCTGTGCTGAATTATGATCAGCTGAAAGCGGCGCTTCTTCAGAGGTTCCGCTATACTGCGGAAGGCTACCGCGAAAAATTTCGTAAAGCGAAGCCCGAAGAAAACAAGACTGGTCTGCAGTATGCTGCAAGACTTTCCGGCTACTTTGACCGTTGGCTTGAAGTGGGAAAAACGGAGACAAGCTTTGCTAGCTTGCGAGATCTGATGATAAGTGAGCAATTCATGAAGGGTTGTTCTCCGGCACTCAGGATCTTTCTCAAGGAGAGAAGTTGCAAAACCCTGAGTTCGCTTTGCGAGACTGCCGATAACTTCATGGAAGCACAAGCGCTCACAAACTTCGGAAGAGAACGGATTCCCAAGGATCCGGGACCTTCGGTGTCCAAGCCGGAGTCCGCGAAGAAGACGGAGAAGGCTGCAAGTCGCTGTTTCCTTTGTGACAAGGCAGGCCATCGCGCAGCCGACTGCTGGTCCCGCACGAAAGGGAATACTATCAGCCGATGCGGAGTATGCAAACAAAGTGGACACAGCAGTGACAGATGCCCCGGTAGAAAATTTGGCAAAGACCAGGCATCATGTATGCTATCGGAAAAACGCGAAGACTTGACACCTGAACACCATAAGAGTGGCTACATTGTTCTCCAAGACGGCGGAACAATACCCATCGTCAATGCCACATCAAGTCGATGATCCGCGAACGTTGGAGTCGCTGACATGCCTGTTGTGGAGGGGTTCCTAGAGGACAGACCAGTGCATGTGCTTCGAGACACCAGCTGCAACACGGTCGTCGTGAGGCAATCCTTGGTTCCGAAGGAGAAGTTCACGGGAACGACGAGCCCAGTGTACTTACTGGACCGTACTGTGCGATACCTCCCAGAGGCAAAAGTCCTTTTGCAATGTACATTGTTTACTGGGGAAGTACTCGTTAAGTGTATGACCGACCCATTATACGACGTAGTTTTGGGCAACATCAAGGGCGCGACATTGCCGGATACGTTACCTAGGAATGAGTCAGCACCACAGCATGGCCATGGCCATGTGGAAACAAGGCGTGCACCATGCACAGACTCTATCAAAGGGAATGCTGTCAATGGTGAGCAGGATGTATCTGGCAATTTGCACGCAACCCAACTAAGATCGAATGTGGAGGAAGCGTATGAGCCGCTGCATGAAGCCATGGAAAAGTGGCCCCTACCTGAAGAAGTCCTCATGGGAAAAGCAGGAGAAACGAAGAAGCACACTTCTTTACCTGTGATGACTCTGCCTGCTTTACAAGTGGGAAGTGAGGCGCTTAAAAATATCAAGTGGATGACGAAACTTTGCGAAAGTGTTTAGAGGCAGTTGGCAAGAAAATCATGTCGAACGATTAAGAAACGGTGTTTTTCATTCGGGACGGAACCTTATTCCGCGAGCACAACTTGCCAGATGGAACTAATTTGGAGCAACTTGTTGTGCCACGACAGTTGCGTGAGGTGGTGCTGAAACTAGCCCACGAAGGCATCTTAGCCGGCCATCAAGGTATCACGAAGACAGTAAGCAGGGTCACTGGAGAGTTCTACTGGCCGGGTGTCCAATCCGACACAAAACGCTTCGTGAAATCTTGCGACATCTGTCAACGGATCGTGCCACGCCACCTGGTGGGACGCGCTCCCTTGGGCACCACGCCTATCATCGAGACACCGTTTACGAGAGTTGGCATTGATATTATCGGCTCATTGTCACCAACATCTGAAAAGGGCAATCGCTACGTACTGACAATGATCGATTTTGCGACGCGATACCCCGACGCGGTAGCACTTCCCTCCATTGAAGCGAGACAGGTTGCGGAAGGTCTCCTGGAAATGTTCTCTCGCGTTGGCATACCTAAAGAGATCATCAGTGATCGCGGCACGTCTTTCATGTCAGCAGTTATGAAGGAATTCAGCCGACTGCTTTCATTCAAACAACTGCCTACTACGCCATACCATGCGATGGCCAATGGTTTGATTGAACGTTTTAATGGGACATTAAAACGCATCATAGGGCGAATGTGTCAAGAGCGTCCGAAAACCTGGGACTGTTACATTGGTCCGTTACTGTTCGCCTACCGAGAGCTTCCCCAATGTAGCACTGGATTCTCTCCTTTTGAATTATTATATGGTAGATACGTGCGAGGGCCAATGGCTGTTCTCAAGGAGCTCTGGACAAACCCTCGCCTCGATGACGAGACCAAGACGACATACACGCATATGATGGAGCTGCGGCAACGTTTAGAACGCACCTGTGCGCTCGCACACGAATTGATGAAGGCGAAGAAGCTGCAGAAAGGGTACTACGATAAGAAAGCGAGACAGCGCGAACTTGTCCCTGGTGACCAGGTGCTAGTGTTGTTACCAGCCGATGCTAACAAGCTGGTGCTTTCCTGGAAGGGCCCCTTCCCTGTTAGTGAGAAATGCAGCGAACTGGATTACCTAGTAAACCTGGGCCACAAGGTTACGCTATTTCACATCAACATGTTGAAGAAGTATGAGGAGCGCAAGCCACTAGGCCAACGAACGGTTGCAGGCGTTACCACGACGTTGCCAAGTGACACAGACGAGGTTCAGTCCGACGAAGTGCCCCATATCACACTAGAACAGGCACAGGACTGGACGAATGTTACCATAGCATCGGAGCTCAACGCTGATGCACGACAGCAAGCCACAGTGGTTCCTAAAGAATTAGGAGACGTTTTCTCAGATGTACCTGGGAAGACTGACATTGTTCACTGTGAGTTGAAGCTTACATCAGAGGCTCCCATACAGGTCCGACAGTACCCGCTACCTTTTACTGTCAAAGGTGCCGTCGAGGAGGAAGTGAAGGACATGCTGCAGTTAGGTGTCATTGAAAGGTCAACGTCAGCCTATCACTCGCCCATAGTGGTCGTCAAGAAGAAAGATGGCACCATGCGTTTGTGTATTGACTTCCGACAACTGAAGAAGGTCATACTTCCGGATTGTGAGCCGATTCCTCGCACAGATACGATGTTCGCTAAGCTTACGGGATGCAACTACTTCTCGCGCTTTGATTTTACTAAAGGATACTGGCAGGTACCTATGGCCAGTCAGTCGAAAGAGCTCACGGCTTTCTCATGTGAATCTGGCTTGTACCACTTCAACTTTATGCCCTTCGGCATCAAGACTGCGCCGGCAGTATTTAATCGGTTAATGCGAGTCGTCACCGAGGGGATTCCCAATGTGCTATATTACTTCGACGATGTGCTCGTCGCTACTGAAACTTGGGAAGAACACTTGGTAACCCTAAAGAGATTGTTTGAGCGCGTCAGAGCGGCTCGTCTAACTATAAAACCAGCAAAATGTGCGGTCGGCTGTCCGACTACCACTTTTTTGGGCGACACTGTTGGGCAAGGTATGCTGCAGACGAGTAAGAGCATTACTGATAAGATACAAGCAGCTGTGCCGCCAAGCACCAAGAAGGAATTGAAATCCTTTCTCGGCCTATCAGGTTATTACCGCGACTTTTTGCCCAATTACGCTGAGTTGACATTTCCGCTCACAAAACTTACAAAGAAAGGCCACCCCAATAAGTTATTATGGGGTGAAGAACATGAGAGAGCGTTTCGACAAGTGCAGAATCTATTGTCCACGCAGCCTGTGCTAAAGTCACCCGACTTGCATAAGCCATTTGTTCTGCGCACGGATGCGTCTTCGCGGAGCTTAGGAGCAGTATTGCTCCAGGAACACCAAGGCCGTCTGCACCCAGTTTCCTACGCGAGCCGTAAATTACTACCCCGCGAAGCAGCCTACTCCACAATTGAAAGAGAAGGCCTTGCCGTAGTCTGGGCTGTTCGCAAATACCATATTTTTCTCTATGGCAAGCCGTTCACGTTGCAATGTGACCACCAGCCATTGACTTATATTCAGTCAGCTAGGTACCTAAATAATCGAGTCCTGCGGTGGAGTCTCCTTCTTATGGAATATGACTTTCACGTGGAACACATTCGTGGTGTGAAGAACGTTGGTGCCGACTATATGAGTCGTGCGGCTTTTACCGAGCAGTGACTTATTGCCGTTGTACACAATTTTTTTATCATGTTGTCATCATAGTGCAATTGGTTTTTCTTTACATCTACACTGTGACATTTAAAGTGTGCGGAACCTTTGTTATATTCGGGAACTGTGTGTTACGTGTGTACAAAGTACTGGAAGTTGGGGGGAGTGTGGTAAGAGTGCTTCTCACAACCAAAATCGAAACTGGAAGTGAAACCGACAGCGGAAAATAACCGACGAAGACGAAAGTGTGCACGGGGTCAGACGAACGTGAGCGCGTGAGTTTCGGAACAGCGACGGGCAGAGGAAGAACGCGGCCAGCTAGCAAGAGCGCTAGGCGTTGGGCCTCAGGGGACCGAACCAACGAGCGGGTGTCACCAACCCAACCGGGACGAGCGTGGCCTGTTCCTGAGGCGAGTGGCGGTTCCGGGCCGGGCCTGACATGCTGTTGCTGTGGCGGACGAGCGTGCGGGCCAGGGCAAGCGGCTGATCCTGTCCAGACTCGAGTCTGGCACAACCAGTCACCAAGATCGTGGCCACGGTGCCACGTCGGAGCCGGTCCGGCACAACCGCCAATTGAAGGTGCGACCTCGGTATTGCGTCGGCCGCAACGTAGAGCCACCTGGTCCAGCACGAGCAGCTGATGGTCTGCCCGTGAGCTCCCGTGCACTTGGCAACCTTCCCGTGGCGAGGTTGCATCGTCGACGCCATCGTCTTCAGCGGCAGCGTGAGTGGCACCCGACGGAATTAGACTTCCGAGTAGTGAGGACGCGTGGGTTACTCGCGGGCGCGTAGACATAAGGACTGTATGACTGAATTATGGAGCCAGTGTGTTGTACAGATAGCCACCGTGTTGTGATCGTTTTGTGTGTGAAGTCAATAAATGTTTCTCTTGTACTTGTCTTGGGTTTCTGCGTCTGAGGGCCCAAGAACCACCACACCCGCAACTAGCAAGAAAGAGACTTTCACATCCCAGAAGATTGGAGCCAGGAGAATTCACATCTGTGCATTAACGCACGAGTTGACGACTACGTGATGAGAAGCCTGAGTTTGACCTCCTAATTGATACATAAAGACCTGTCGAGACCTTAAGCACAAGCGTCACTGCAATGGCCACCCAGTCGATGCCATCTCCATCTCACCGCATCGTGGATTCACCACGTACACGAGAGGTCTTCCCCGGCGACACCTTTGAAGATGCCGAGGACTGGCTCGAAGGCTTCGAGTGCGTTGCACGTTCGAATGTTTGAGAGGAAGCCCGGAAACTTCGTTACGTTTACGTCGCCCTGCAAGATTCGGCATGTACGTGGTTTGAGAACCACGAAGCGTCCTTGCTGTCGTAGGACGACTTCCGACGAGAGATAATCGCAACCTATTCGAACACGGATCGCAAAGAGGAGGCAGAGGCTGCTCTTCAGGCGAGAAACCAACAGAATAATGAGAGCGTGGACATGTACATGGAAGACATGACGCGGCCCTTCCGCCGAGCCGACCAAAACATGGCCGAGGAAAAGAAGTTGCAGCATCTAATGCGTGGAATAAAAGAAGAGATTTTTGCAGGCCAGGTGCGTAATCCACCGCAAACTGTGGCAAAGTTTCGGTCCGAGGCAATAGTCCATAGAAAGGACACTACAGCAACGTGCTCGACTGTACAACAGTCTT